GACAGCAGCAACAGCAGATGTGAATGCCTAGAGTAGGCAGAAAGCTCCTAAGGATAGATGAGGCCTCCCTGTCCAGAAGGTTGGCCAAGTTAGCTGTAGAAGCAGAGATGGATGGGCTGAATGGGGCTGAGGGGTCAGCAGAGGGTCCCAGCCTAAACTCTGAACTCTTGGAGCCCCATGGGCTGGGCACAGTACAACTGACTTAATGAGAGAAGGGCTCTCCTTTAGACCCCTGGCTACTATCCATGGTCCTGGAAGAGAAGGGTTAACGCTTCTTTTCTTCTTTGACTCTTGGCCAGCCTTGCTCAAAGTTCCAGCCAGGAAAGGGAAGTAATGCTGATGGGAGAGAGAAAAGGTAGTAGGCCGCCAGTCAGTGGCACTGTGAGGGGACTGCGGGGAAAACAGGGGAGATTTGTGTCTTGATATTATTCCCAAGTAATTTTGGAGACCAAGAAAGGAATCACAACTCACCACAAGAGGGAGGAACACAGGCTATCAGGCAGGTCCCCAAACCAAGCCAGACCTGTTGTCTTTCAGTCAACTCTGGTCCCATGGCCACCCTACAGGACAGCACAGAACTGCCCATTGAGTCCCAAGGTTCTCCGATTGATGGAAGCAGACTGTCACGTTTTTGGTGGGTTTGAACCGCCCAGCTTTCAGTCAGCAACCAAACTTTTAGCCACTGGGCCACCAGAACTCCTTTCAAGCAGTACAGGGCAGCATAAAACCTATGAGAGCAAGCAAGTTCTATCAGGACACCAACTGAACCCCAGTCTTCCAAGCTAAAGAAGCCCAAACCAAACTCCCTGCCGTCACATGGATGCTGATTCATAGTGACCCTCCATAGGAGTGCAAAAACTGTAAATCTTTACAGAGCAGACAGCCTTATCTCCCTCTGATGGGGCAGCTGGTGGACTTGAACAGCTGAACTTGCAGTAAGAGGCCCAACATCTAGCCTACAGTACCACCAGGATGCCTTTCCAAGCAGCCTCCAGCAGTGTCAATGCCCATGAGTACAAGCTTGTTCTAGTAGATCACCCGCCCAACACTGGATGCCGAGAGAGACTTGGGGAAGACGGAACTGTGTCCAACCATGAAGGAATTTGTTGTTGTTGTTTGTTTCACCTTCACGTTGTGGACTGTCCCTTGATATATATATATATTGTTTAATCAATTTATTGGGGCCCATACAATTCATCACAATACATAGATCAATTGTGTAAAACACATCTATACATTTGTTGCCCTTATTATTCCCAAAATTCGCTTGCCTTTTGGGTTCCCGGAATCAGCTCATTTTCCTTTTTTCCCCCCTCCCCTTCCCTTCCTCCTCCTCTCTCCCCCATGCACCCTTAATAATTTATAAATTATTATTGTATCTTATATTACACTGTCCGGCGTCTCCCTCCACCCACCCTTCTGCTGCCCGTCCCCCAGAGAGGAGGTTATAT